AACAGGTCAAGGTAACCACACACAAAAAAGTTGGGAGGCCGTACAGTGGACCTGACGCAATTTCCACCAGCAAGGGGTACCTGCAGTTCAGTTAGGGGCAGGGGCGGATCACCGGGAGGAGCACGGTCCCCATGTTCTCCAAGGACATATTTGCTCATAGATCCTAGGCCTGTAAAGTCACACCTTAGACACAGGCAGGTCTCCCCAGAGGGCAAGGCATAACCAGTATCTCTGAACCGAGCTCCACCTACACAGGGTGGGGGTGGGGCACATGAGACTTGGTCTTCAAGGTAAGAAACTCATAGGGGGGAGTTCCATGAAACAAAGGTGAGATCCTTGCTCTCAAGAACAATACCTCAAAAAGAAACAATCGATCAAAATACAAAAGCGTATGTTCCACTTTTTTTTTTTTTTTTTTTTGAGACAGGGTCTCACTACATAATTCCAGCTGGCCTAGAACCCGGCAGACAGATAATCCTAGGCTCGTAGACGCGCCTGCCTGCCTCCCGAGTGCTGTCATTTTAAAGGTATACACCTCCAGTACCAGGCCCTGCTCCACCATTTTTAAAAGTCAATGTGACCATCTGAATTGCCTCACGTTTCCGCTTAACCTTAAATATCACTAGTGCTTTTGCAAAGGGAAGTGAGGAAGAGGAACGGCCGCTAGGAGTGCCATGAGCACTAGCGAGGTAGAGGTCAAGTTTAGCAGTGAGGAAAAAAGGGTGGATGGAGCCTTGGCCGGGTGGCTCATGGTAGTATTAGGAGGTTGGGGCAGAAAGACTGCTTTGAGCTCGAGGCCAGCCTGGTATAACCTGGTATCCACAGAGTTCCAGGGCAATCAGGGTGAATAGATGGGTCAGGAGCAGTAAGTCCAACGGAGACAAAAATACGGGCCTCCTTTGTAATTGTTTTTTAAATTTTTAATTGTTTATATGTTGCATGTGTGAGTGTAGTGCCTGCATGTACGTAAACGCACCCGTATCTTGCAAAGCCTGTGGAGGTCAGAAGACGGTGTCAGATCCCCTGGAACTGGAGTTACGGGCGGTTGCTAGCTGCCAAGTAGATGTTGGGAATCGAACCCGGGTCCTCTGCACAAGCAGCCAGCGCTCTTAACCGCTGAGCCATCCCCCATCCTTTGTATTAAGGCTGGTTTGCGGAAGCCAAGGGGCTTCCTCAGCCCGACGTACATGATACCATTTCGACAGTCACTATCGGGGTCCTGCCTTCGGCCTCCCCGACCTAACCCGGCTCCCGAGGTCCGGCGTGCCCTCCGCCCAGCAGCGGCCTCGGTCCCCGCCTAGGGGGAAGGGCCACGAGCGGTCGGAGGCCGAGAGCGAGTCAAGGAAGAGGCCGCGGGGTGCACCGGGTACACTTAACCCCGGCCCCCGACGCCCCCTCACTGAGCAACCCAGGCCCACCACTGAAACGCAGGCGCCGCACGGGCCGCACGCGCGCCGGAAGTTGCATCACCCGCCTTCCTCCGAGTGTCTGGGGGGCGGCACCTGCAAGGGGACGCGGTCCAGTCAGAATGCAACACGAGGGGCTTCGGAGGCGCAGGCGTGGCCCCGCCCACTGCCACGTTCGACGGAGAAACGCGTGGGTGCGCGCACCGCTCGGCCAATCAGGAGCCCCGCGGCCCGAGCGGCTAAATGCCGCGGCCTTTCTAGAGCTGCGGAAGGTGTGGGAAAAAGTCTCCAGTCAGAAGTAGAGAAAGAGAAAGTTCTTCCAAGACAGCCAATCAGAGGCCGGGGGACAAAGCGAGCGCGCGCCTGCCGTCCAATCAGAGGCGAGCTGGGGAAGGCCTTTGAGGGCGTTTCCGACTCCGCGGCCGGGCCTAGCACGGCTATCCAATCCGAGCAGGCTAGAGGCGGGCCTCGCGTCCCTCCTGCCAATCACAGGGCGCCTAGGGCGCATGCGTGCGGCGACCCGAGCGCAAGGCTGGAAGGGAGGGGGGGTGTGGGCGCGTCCCCGGTCCCGGATTTATAAAGGCGAGGCCGGGACGGACGCGCGTTCTCGTCGCCTTTGCTGTCCCGGCGGCGCCGATCGGACAGCCCCGCCCGCCGCCGTCGTCCAACATGCTGAGCCGTGCTCTGCTGTGCCTCGCCCTGGCCTCGGTGGCCCGGGTGGGCGCCGACGTCCCGGAGGAGGAGGACCACGTCCTGGTGCTGAAGAAGAGCAACTTCGCGGAGGCGCTGGCAGCGCACAACTACCTGCTGGTGGAGTTCTGTGAGTGCACGGCGGGCCTGGGCAGGCGGACCTCCGCCCCGGGCGGCCCTCGGTGGCCCCCGCCTCCCCGGGACGCGCCGGCGCGCGGCCCCCGGCTTTGCCTCTGGGAGCATGGCCTGTAGGGTCCCGGGATGCTCCTCGCCCGGCTGTCTCACTGTCAGCTAAGCTCCCTCTAGCCTCCCCGAAAGCATCTTTCCTACCCCCAATGGGACTAACTGTGTCCAGGGCTCCTGGAGGGTGGACTGCTGAGCTGACCACCGGGAAGGTGTCTTTGTGCCCGACGTCCACATGGCAGGATCCCTCTGTGAGTTGGGAGAGACAGAATGGGTCTTGTAAGGAAGCGCAGCAAACCCGAGAGGGCAAGTCCAGCCCTACTTACTCTGCCCGCCCTACCTCTAACCTGCCACAGCTTCCCCCTCGGGAAGCAAGCCAGATCCTAAGCCTTTGCTTCTGTTTACGAGTATGTGGGCTCCAACGCAGCTGCCAGCCTTCCTTGACAGATTGTCACATTCCCACACTGGAAAACAGCTTTAACAGGCACGTTCTTGCCAGGTGTAGCGCTGGGCCATCAACTTTTTAACCTAATGTTGATTCTTGATGGCTACCTGATTATTGCAGGTAATGGAAATTTCAAGTCAGAACTGTCTTGTTGTGTTGGTGGTCACAGGGCAGAGTAGGGGTTGGGGTTGGTTCGTGGCTCATGGCCTCTGTCCTGATGTTGCCCAAGAGTACCAGCTATCAGCTCAGCCTCCAGGATGCCTTCAGACGGGTTATCTTGGTATGTTGATAAGGCTTTATGAAGGGAAGTGCAAAGTAGAAAGAAAGGGAAGCAGTAGACCTGGAGCAGGCTGCGCTCTTTTTCAGATGCCCCATGGTGTGGTCACTGCAAAGCTCTGGCCCCCGAGTATGCCAAAGCCGCTGCAAAACTGAAGGCTGAAGGTTCTGAGATCCGACTAGCAAAGGTGGATGCTACAGGAGAGTCTGAGCTGGCTCAGCAGTACGGCGTCCGAGGCTACCCCACAATCAAGTTCTTCAAAAACGGAGACACAGCCTCCCCCAAGGAGTATACAGGTGCGCCTACGGCACTGTACAGGGAGCTAACCAATAGTAGGTCTGAGAGCTAGGGAACCTTTAGAGGCTTAGAGAAGACCCTGTTCTCAGCTTCTCCAGCTCTTGCATCTGAGGGCCCTGCAAAGAAAAGAGAGATTCCTCTTTGGAAGACCTCACATGAAGACTACCATGTTTCTGATGATATCCTGAGTGTCCTGTTGCTGAGGCTTATCTGGGGATTTACTAATGAGCAAGAGGCCAATGCTGCTCTATCCTCACAGGTCTCTGAACCATTGGTGCTTCTAGAAGCAGTAGTATGGGTGTGACCCTTCTGTAATACTTCCTAACTCTCCCTGGTAGTGTTGCAGTACCCAAGCACTCTTAACTCTCACTACACCTCTCCCTTATGGAGCTGTTCATGGTCATAGCACTGCTGTTGAGCCCCCAGCCACCTCTTAAAGTAATTTCAGAAAGGCTGGACCTTGATGTAGGCAAGTCTATTAGTCACTGGTATCAAAAGAAGTCTTGTGTCTCAAAAAATAGTTCCATGGAACACTGATAAGACCCATATCCACGTGATGGGCAACCTGAAACTATGTTGTCCTGTTTTGGCAAAATGTTCCCCCCAAGAAGCCATGTCCTGTCCAGTGTCGGGCACTCTGGCCACCTCTCTAGGCTGTGTGTGGTTCACTCTTGGAGTAGAAAGTTTGAACTTGATGTTTGACTTCCAGCACCTAGAAGGTAGAGGAAGGAGTAGCTCATAACTTTTTAAAAAATATATATTTTTTATTTTATTTTTCTAAATATTTTACTTAATTATTTTTATTTTATGTGTACAAGTGTATTGCCTACATGTATGTGAGTGCACCCGTGTTGTGCAATGCCATGGAGATCAGAAGAGGGCTTCAGATTCCCCTGGAACTGGAGTTAAGGATGGTTCATAGCCGCCATGTGAATGCTGGGAATCGAACCCTGGTCCCCTGTAAGAGCAGTCAGTGCTCTTAACCACTGAGCCATATCTCCAGCCCCTATTTTTTATTTTATTTTATTTGTATACGTGTGTTGCCTGCATGCAGGTAAGTGCACCCGTGTCGTGCAATGCCCAAGGACAGAAGAGGCTGTTGGATCTCCTAGAACTGGACTTACAGACAGTTGTTAGCTGCCATGTGGGTGCTGGGATTTGAACCCAGGTCTTCTGCAAGAACAACCAGTGTTCTTAACTGCTGAGCCATCTCTCCAGCCTCCGTATCTCATAGTTTTGAGGCCAGTCTGATGTGGATTTTAAGCCAACCAGGTATACAGGTCTTAAAAAAATACAAAACTGGACTGAGGATGGTGTCAGTTGGTAGAGAGCTTACCTAGTATGTATGTGTATGACTGAGTATATGTATCCACCACGTGTTCATTGCCTGTGGAAAGCAGAGGAGGGTGTTGGATCCCCTGGAACTAGAGTTACAGGATTTTGTGAGCCCCCCAGTGTGGGTGCTGGGAACTGAACACTGGTCCTCTGGAAGAGCAGCAAGTGCTATTAACTACTGAGCCATCTCCAGCACCCAAAATTAAAAATTTAAAGAAAGCATTTTTTGAGTCTGGGTCTCTGCAGCCACAGCTTGCCTGGAACTCACTATGTAGACAAGGCTGGCCGTGATCTCACAGAGATCCGCCTGCCTCTGCCTCCTCCTGAGTGCTGGGACTAAGGGCGTGCGCCACTATACCTGGCAAGAAAAAAGAGATTAGAAGCCCTAACCAAAAGAAAAAAAAAAAAAAAGCCTAACCATAGTTACTTTGGTTCTCCACTAAACCCCCAGACTTTGTAGGTGAGAGACGGCAGCTCATAAATCCTTTTGTGACTGACAACTCAGTTTTTCGTTGGCACTGACCTGAAGATTCCTGGTGAATCCAGTGGGCAGTCCTTCCTTGAGTGGTCTAAGTGGTCCTGTACAGGAGGAGAGAGTGGCTCTATCAACAGCCTTCTTAAGGAAGGACAGGCTTTTTTTCTCCACCATGACTGCTTTCAGTAGCATTCAGGCACACTATTTTTCCAGTGGATAGGGCAGGCCCTGGATAGGAACTCCTGGCCCACCTGGGGTGTCAGGGTCAAGTTGAGCCTGTTGTAGGAGTGGTAAAACTGGCACTGAGGTTGACGAATCACATCTCCAGGGGTGTGGCCTGGTACGGGAGCACTGGGAGAAACTGTATGAGCTTTAATTGTTGAAGGACATTTGGGAAATGCAGAGGGATTGTGATGAAATGGCGTGTGACCATTGCATCCCTGAGAGGGGCACTCTTCCCTGTGGTAATCACCACAGGGGCCTCCCTGCAGAACATGTTGCTGTGTGGGGCTCAGAAGAGAAATGGCCAGGCAGGATGGGTGCCAGCCTGTTTCATAGGCACTTGGATTTGTTTGGGTCTAGCTGGCAGAGAAGCTGACGATATCGTGAACTGGCTGAAGAAGCGCACAGGCCCTGCTGCCACCACCCTTTCTGATGCTGCAGCTGCAGAGTCCTTGGTGGACTCAAGTGAGGTGGCTGTCATCGGCTTCTTCAAGGTAGAGCTTTAAAATTCCATTCCACCTATCAGCTGTCCTCGTGGAGGGAGGGGCCCTGTGGTGTCAGAGTCTGTCCTGCTGCAGTTCTGCAGGGGTGCTGCTTGGGGCTGGGGTGTGTGGCCACTTCTGCTTTCCTTTCCTCTTCCAGGACCTGGAATCAGACTCTGCCAAACAGTTCTTGCTGGCAGCAGAGGCCATCGATGACATACCCTTTGGGATCACATCCAACAGTGATGTGTTTTCCAAATACCAGCTCAACAAAGATGGGGTGGTCCTCTTTAAGAAGGTAAGTGGCTCCCACGGCAGCTCTGTCCAGGGCAGTTCAGGTACTAGTCTGAAGGGTACGGTGAGGCCTCCCTTACACTTAGAAGGACCTTGTCAAGCTGTGCTGATGAGATGGATGGTGATCAAGGGTCTCGTTTGCACCTTTTTGGAGTCAAGATGTGGCAGCCACTTTACCCTGGCCTTTGAACCCTGAAGTATGGGGCCTTTGGCCAGCTTCCTGTGACAGCCAGCACTCTGGGCCTACTGAAACAAGGTAGCCACTTCAGACTGTTAGCTTTTTTAAATGTATGTATGTGTGCCTACCCGAGTTTTTGTGCACCTTGTGTGTGCAGTGCCTGTGGAGGCCAGAAGAGGGCACTGGATGTCCTGGAACTGGAGGTACAGGGGGTTGCAAACTGCCATGTGGGTTTTAGGAACCAAATCCGGATCCTTGGCAAAAAGAGCCAGTGCTCTTAATCACTGAGTCATGCCTCCAGCTCTGGACTAGTGGCTTTTTAATTTCAGTTGTGGCAAGATATAACCAGATTGGCTGTTGAAACTGTTCTTTTTTTTTTTTTTGGTCTTTTTGAGACGGGGTTTCCCTGTAGCCCCAGCTGTCCTGGAACTCACTATGTAGACCAGGCTGGCCTTGAACTCACAGAGATCCGCCTGCCTCTGCCTCCCGAGTGCTGGGACTACAGGCATGTGCCACTATACCCAGCACTGTTCTTTTTTTTTAAGATTTATTTTCTATTTTATGTGTGAGTATTTTATTATTATTATTTATTATTATTTGCCTACATTATGCAGGAGGGGGATGGATCCCCTGGAACTGGAGTTACTGACGATTGTAAGTTACCATGTAGGTGCTGGGAACCAAACCCAGTCTCCTGTATGAGCAGCTGGTGCTCATAACTGCTGAGCCATGTCTCCAGACCTAGACTATTGTAGCTTTTTTTATTTCAGTTATGGCAAGCTATAACCAAGTTGGCTGTTTGAACCGAGTTTTTTATTTTCTGTGTTCTTTTGTTTGTTTGTTTGTTTGTTTTGATAGGGGATTACCCTCTAGATCAGGCTGGCCTGGAACTCACTATATATAGTGCTGGTTGGCCTCCAACTCAGGGCAGTCCTCCTGCCTCGGCCTCTCAAAGTGCTGAGATTACAGATGTGATTCACAACACCTAGCCTGAAAATCATTCCTAGTCTTACGGCATTAATTGGACTCAGTACCGATACCTATGGCCAGGACTGTTTCCTCAGCCCAGACAAGAGATTGGGAGTCTTAGTTCCAGGAGGTGTTCCCCCAGTCAGCAGGCCTGCCACCTGGGACGCTATAGATCCTGACCCTGTTGTCATTCTTCTGGAAGCCAAGTGTCTTTGCCGTGTACCTCTTATAGGGTGCAGTAGGCTTCTTTGCCTTTTGTCCTGAGAGTCAGGGTAGGAGCCGGGCACCATGCTTTGCAGCCCAGGTATGCCTGCATTGAGGTACTTATAGGTTAATGCTACCCAGTTGGGAGATGTATGGGGGGAGAGGAAGTTTCAAGGAGGACCTAGGGAATGGAGGGCAAGAGTTGGGGCCTCATGGGCAGGGCAGGAGAATGAGACCTTATAGTGTCCTGGTCTGTCCTCAGGAGGAGGAATGTCATAGCAGAGAAGGAATTGACAGCATTCTATGTTTTCTGCCTCTAAAAGGTTTTCACCAGCTTGGAGCTGAGTAACATGGAAGGTGAGAGATTACACTCTCTAGTGAGGTGTAGGCATCCGGCCCTCTGTGGAGTGGCGGACTCTGTCATGGGGATGGGAGTAAGCACCCCACGGCTTGTGTCTGTGTTTGGCAGTTACCAGTTTCCATAGCCCCTTTCTTCAGAGAACTCCAGCCACTGACACCCTTTACCACAGACGGCCTCACGATGGTACCTGAAAAGGATAGACTTTTTTTGCTAATTACTGTCTTGTCATATGTGCCCAGGAAGTTTTAATTAGATGCCTGACTGAAGAAACCAAAAGTGCTAGGTGAGGTCTTTTTTGAGTCGAGTCTCGCTGTGTAGCTCTGGTTGGCCCCAAATGCAGAGAGATTGGCCTGCTTTTCTGCCTCCCAAGTGCTGGGATTAAAAAAGTGTCCGTGGCATGGTGACACACACCTTTAGTCCCAGAATTTGGGAGGCAGAGGCAGGCGGATCTCTGAGTTCAAGGCCAGCCTGGTCTACATTCCAGGCCATCTGGGGCTATAGGGAGACCCTGTCAGAAAAAGACAAAGAAATAAAACCTGTGTCAGCACGCTCTTGACAAAGTAAGTCTGCAGTATTAGAAAGTCTTGCCCAAAAGTTGAGATGATGGCTGGAGAGTCGGCTGAGACGTTGAGCACTGGCTGCTCTTGGAGAGGACCTGAGTTCGATTCCCAGCACCCCCATGGTGGCTGACAACTGTCCACAACTCCATCCAGTTCTAGGGGAATCTGAATGACCTCTTCTGACCTCCATGGGCATTGCACATACAGATGCACATACCTACATGCAGACAACACACTTGTACACATAAAAAAGAATACAAGTAGGTGGGCGTTGTGGCACACACCTTTAATTGCAGCACTTGGGAGGCAGAGGCAAGTGGATCTCTGAGTTTGAGGCCAGCCCGGTCTACATAGTGAGCTCCAGGACAGCTGGGGCTACAGGGAGACCCTGTCTCAAAAAGACTAAAAAATTAAAAAATAATAAAATACTTTTATTTATTTGTTTTTTCAATATTTTATTATTTTTATTTTGTGTATATGCATGTATTGCCTGCATGTAAGTGCACCCATGTCATGCAGTGCCCGCAGAGGTCAGAAGAGGCCGTCGGATTCCCTGGGACTGGAGTTATGGACAGTTGTTAGCTGCCATGTGGGTACTGGAATTTGAACCCGGGTCTTCTACAAGAACAACCAGTGTTCTTAACTGCTGAGCCATCTCTCCAGCCCTATTTTTTTATTTTTAGTTTATGTGTATGAGTGTATTGCCTGCATGTGTGTAGGCATACCGGTGTCATGCATTGCTTGTGGAGGTCAGAAGAAACTGGAACTGGAGTTATGAATGGTTGTTAGCTGCCTTGTGGGTGCTGGGAATCGAACCTGGGTCCTCTGTAAGAGCAGTCAGTGCTCTTAACCACTGAGTCATCTCTCAAGTCCCATAAAATATTTTTTTGAAAATTCGAAGCTGGGCATAGTGGCGCACACCTTTAATCCCAGCACTAGGGAGGCAGAAGCAGGCAGATCCTCTGTGAGTTCAAGGCCAGCCTAGTCTACATAGTGAGTTCCAGGACAGCTTTTTTTTTTTTTTTTTTTTTTAAAAAAAAAAAAAAAAAAAAAAAAAATTGAGATTGTGAGGAAATGTCTGAAGGCCTGTGGAAGCATGCAAACCTCGTTCAGTCCAGTCCATGCATGCAGGCCGCCACTCATGTCATGTCTGGGTGATGTCTTAACATTAGATGGATGGTCTTGGTGATCCCAGGTCCTTGGAAGGTAGAAAGATCTTTATTTTTGCCTTCAAAGAATGTGTAGCGGGCTGGGGAGATGGCTCAGTGCTTGAGAACACTGACTGCTCTTGCAAAGACCCAGGTTCAATTCTCAGCACCTACATGGCGCCTACGAACCGTCCTTAATTCCAGTTTCAGGGGAATCCGAAGGCCTCTTCTGACCTCTGTGGCATTGTACAACACAACGTGCACTCACATACCTGTAGGCAATACACACATACACATAAAGTAAAAATAATACTTAAAAAAAAATGCAGCACATAGATCTGCCATTCCGACTGTAGGTTTAGTTTGTTTATGGATTTGTTGGTTTGGTTTCGTTTTGAGACAGGGTTTCCTTGTAGCCCCAGCTGTCCTGGAACTCTCCATGTAGACCAGGCTGGCCTTGATCTCACAGAGGTCCGCCTGCCCCTGCCTCCTGAGTGCTGGGACTAAGGGCTTTTGTCACCACGCTGGTTTTGGTTTTTCGAGACAGGGTTTCATGCACCTGAGGCTGGCCTTGAACCTGCTCCTCCAGTTTACTACCAGAGCCAGTGGTTTTTCTTGTTTGTTTTCTGAGTCAAGGCCTCACAGTGTTGCCCAGGCTGGCCTCACTTTGTTCTTCTTCCTCCAGGATGTTAAATCTCTGTCTTCAAATGAACCGGGTTTTCCTGTCTACCCCAGGAGAACCCCTAGAGCACCCTAGCAGGGCCAGATGTTTCTCCAGTAAGTCTAGGCCAGCAAGCTGCTGCTTGATTTTCTTTCTTCTCTGGAGGATGGCTTGTGACCAGGGCTCAGGACAGAGCTCAGGAGCTAGGAAAGCCAGCCAAGGCCACTGGGCACAGGGATGAGCTTTGCGTTCTGGAGCTGATAGCCTGTGTTTTTCTGATGTTTATTTTACCTTTTCTTTTCAAGAAGTTCAGAATGAGTGTAGGGCCAGGGGCCTCTTGAAACATGCAGTGTCATGACCTGGCAGGGCTGGTATTTATACCAGAGACATAGGCAGTATTACAATGGTATCTGCACAAGACCCCCAAGCCAGGCCTACAGTAAGCCCCCACTGAACGAGAACTGTTTTCACCAGACTGAATGAATGTCATGTGGCCATATTGCCAAGAAGATGGCAGCCCAACCCAAGTGCTCAGCTGTTCTCCAGGAGGATCCCTGTTGGTGCTGTGACTCAGCCTCACATCTGGAGAGAGTACCTCATAGAACCAGGCCTTTACCAACTCACTTTCCAAATGCCATGGTGGTGCGCTCAGGCCCTCACCTTACATGTAGCATCCTCTCCAGGCTGCTTTGGGGAACAGCATGGAAGGCACTATCCCTTGGGCACAATGGGCTGTCTGGTCTTGACACTTCCCTGATTTAGTCAGAAAGTCCAGCTGGAACTGGCATCTTCTAGATGTAAACTGCTATGATTGTGGGAAGTGGCTCCTGGGGCGGAGCTCCTTCCCCAGTCCCAAACATCTGTCCACCTGTTCCTCCTCTTTTTTTTTTTTTTATTTTCTGTGTATGAGTGTATTGCCTGCGTGTATGTGAGTGCACCCGTGTCATGCAGTGCCTCAGAGGTCAGAAGAGGGCTTTGGATTCCCCTGGAACTGGAGTTAAGGACGGTTTATAGCCACCATGTGGGTGCTGGGAATCAAACCCGGGTCCTCTGCAAGAGCAGTCAGTACACTTAACCGCTGAGCCATCTCTCCAGCCCCATCTTCCTCTTTTTTAAAGATATTGCCTGCATGTGTGTAAGTACACCTGTGTCAAGCAGTGTCAGTCAAGGTCAGAAGATGGTGTTGGATCCCCTGGAACTGGAGTTATAGATGATTGTTAGCCACCTTGTGGGTGCTGGAAATTGAACTCGGGTCCTCTGCAAGAGAAGTCAGTGCTTTTAACCACTGAGCCATCTCTCCAGCCCCCTCTTTTTTTTTTAATTTTATGTTTTTAGCTTGCATGTATGTAAGTGTTCCATTTGTGCGTAATGCCCACAAAGGCCAGAAGAGGGCATCAGATCCTCTGGAATTGGAGTTGCAGATGGTTATTAGCTACCCTGTGGGTGTGAGAGCAAAAGTTGCTCTTAACCCCTGGGCCTCTCTCCAGCCCCCACCTGCTCTTAAAGTTATTTTGGGGAAGTGTAAAACATCGTGACCAGTAGGAAGAGATGAGTAGTCAGCCCCTGCAGCCTTGGACCAATAATCTTGGCTCAAAAGTACTTGGAATAAACTGGATGTAGTGGTGTTCTATAATCCCAGCATTCAGAAGGCCGGGGGGGGGGGGTGTTCACCTAAAAAATTAACTAAGAATAGGCTCTTTTTTCCTCTGATTCCCAAAATCACACAACGTAACAACTACTCACAGAGTATTTACATTAAGAATTTTGTCAGAAGCAGGGCAAGTTGTCTGGGCTTTTAATCCCAACACTCCAGAGACAGGAGAGGCAAGTGGATCTCTGTGAGGTCAACTGGGGCTACAGGAAGATGGAGACCCTGTCTCAAAAAGACCGAAACAAAAAAGAAAAAGTGTGTCAACCAGGCTGGTAGCACTGGCCTTTAACTCCAGTACTCTGAGACAGAACCAGGTGGATCTCTGTGATTTAGAAACCAGCCTGGTCTATATAGTGAGTTCTAGGCCAGCCAGGGCTACAGATGAGACCCTGTCAGAATTACTGAACGTTCAAGACTAGCCTGGACTACATAATGAATTCCAGGTCAGTCAGAAGTGAAACAGAGGTAGACCTGAGGTGTAAATGAGTTTGTTTTACAGTAGCTGAGCTTGTGGCATGCAGTGTAGTCAGATCTACTCAGGAGGCTGAGGAAGGAGAATCAGTTGAGTATAGGATTTAGAGGACAGGCTGGGCAACATAGCAAGATCCTTGTCTCCAGTAGATCAGAATAAGATTATCAGCCTATTGCATGCTATCGGGCATAACATGTTCCTGTGTGAAGTCAGTTTAGTGACCAGTCTCTTTGTGTTGGATGTGATGGGAGATGGCCGAATCTTTCTGTACCAACTACATCCTGCAGGCCCTTCACTCTACTGCAAACTAGGAATATAGGATGGAAAGACATGCCAGTAAAGCCTGGTTGTGAAAGTAGCTTTGTTTAGATACGGCAGGCTTATAATCCTACCACTCAGGAGGCTGAGACAGGATTATGTGCTTCAGGCCAACTTGGGCTACAGACTACAGAGCTTCTCAAAAGTAGCCTTAGGGCATGCAAGATGACTCTGGGTAAATACACTGGCCACCACACCTAATGACCTAGGTTTGATTCCCGAGACCCACATGGTAGAACAGACAGATTCCCATTTAAAGGTAGCTTTAGCCTCCAGATGCCCCTGAGGGTCTGGGGCCCTGTTTTAGTTGTCTCCCCTGACCCTAGGAGGGCCACGCTTTGTGACCCACTATTTTAGCAACTTAGAGGTGACTACCTTCTCAGCTCAGCTGATGGACTCTTGCTCTGAACAAAGATGCTATGGCTTGTCATGGATGGTCTAGTCAGGGCAGCCTGCTCTGTTCTGCAGAGCATATGCCCTCTGCAGTGACGTCTACCTGTTCTGGCCTGCTCAGACTGGCCGTCCTGCTGCCTGTGCTATTCAGAGCATCAGAGGACCAACCATGAGCCACCAGGCTTGAAGGCTGAACATGCTACCCATTGGTGGCTACAGGGTGGGTGGCTGCATCCAGTTTGAGCTATCAGAGAACAAGTGTGGCCTATCCTCTGAGGCTGGCTCACCACAAATTCTGTTTGCAGTTTGATGAAGGCCGGAACAACTTTGAGGGTGAGGTCACCAAGGAGAAACTGCTGGATTTCATCAAACACAACCAGCTGCCTCTGGTCATCGAGTTCACTGAGCAGGTGAGTCCTCTAAGGGCAGATGGTAGGGGTCCTAGGGCCACTGGGAGAATAGTCTGTGAGGGCTGTTGGCAACTCAGACCCAGTAACTGCTAATTGTCCCACAGACAGCCCCAAAGATTTTTGGAGGTGAGATCAAGACACACATTCTGCTGTTCCTGCCCAAGAGCGTGTCTGACTATGATGGCAAGCTGAGCAACTTCAAGAAAGCGGCCGAGGGCTTCAAGGGCAAGGTGGGTTGCCTCAGGACGGGGGGGCTCTTTCACAGGGCCTAGAAGTCTAGTTGTCTGTGACTGCTCCTGAGAGTCTGGATTTTAGAGGTCCAAAGGGCCAGCCCCTTTGGCTAGCAGGCACCCCCAGATTTGGGGTGGGGGGCACTTTCAGGGATGTGAGTCTGCTTGTCTAAATGTGCCTTTTCTCCCCCAAGATCCTATTTATCTTCATCGACAGCGACCACACTGACAACCAGCGCATCCTTGAGTTCTTCGGCTTGAAGAAGGAGGAGTGCCCAGCTGTGCGGCTCATCACCCTGGAGGAGGAAATGACCAAGTACAAGCCCGAATCGGACGAGCTGACAGCTGAGAAGATCACAGAGTTCTGTCACCGCTTCCTGGAGGGCAAGATCAAGGTGTGGGCTGGGGCTGGGTCACACTAGCCCTAGCTAAGTTGGCAGAGGAGGGTCTGCACCTGGTCTCTGGGACCTAGTGTCCTGTGCTTCCTGCCGTTTTGCTCTCAAAGTCTGAAGACAGCTCAGGTTCCTCAGCACAGAGCTTGTGGTGGTGTGAGGCCTCCCACTCTAGTTACCCACCTGGGGACATGTGTGGAAGCCTTGTGTGCTACCCACCATGTACCAGGGTAGTTTAAGGCTGCCAGGTACCATTGGGATTCCCTGCTGGACAACCCTGAAGGCACGCCTTTTCTCCAGATTCTTGGCAACATCAGCTTTGGTGGCCTGTGGGGGACAGTGTATGCCTCAGCTGTGCCAGATTGCAAAGGGTGGGGTTGCAGTGCTGTCCCTGACCGAGGTCTTTCTCCCCTCCAGCCCCACCTGATGAGCCAGGAACTGCCTGAAGATTGGGATAAGCAGCCTGTAAAAGTACTGGTTGGGAAAAACTTTGAGGAGGTTGCTTTTGATGAGAAAAAGAATGTCTTTGTGGAATTCTGTAAGTGAGGGTCTCTGGCTTCCCAGCTTGCTCTGCCCAGGTGGAAGGTGCAGCTCTGGTCCAGGATGGGCACTCAGCACTGCTCTTTTTCAGATGCCCCATGGTGTGGTCACTGCAAGCAGCTGGCCCCCATCTGGGATAAACTGGGAGAGACGTACAAGGATCATGAGAATATCATCATTGCTAAGATGGACTCGACAGCCAACGAGGTGGAGGCTGTCAAAGTGCACAGCTTTCCCACACTGAAGTTCTTCCCCGCAAGCTCAGACAGAACGGTGCGCTTTCCAGACAGCCTCAGCTAGGCTTGGGAAGAGCTGCTGCTGCCTCTGCCGGCGTGGGGGTTACTCCTCAGAAGCCCCCACCTTTCTACAAGGATGGGAAGCTGCTGCCCATCGGGTCCGGTGGGTCCCAGACCAAGTCTAAATTCCCTTCACCCATTTCCTACAGGTCATTGATTACAATGGTGAGCGGACACTAGATGGTTTTAAGAAGTTCTTGGAGAGCGGTGGCCAAGATGGAGCAGGAGATGATGATGTGAGTGTGACCAATCCGGGCCAGGCCAGCTTTGGGGAAGCTCTGGGCCCTTGTGGGAGGTACCAGCTCAGGTGTTGACTTGGAGATTGCTGGCTACATGACAGGCATAGCTGTGCATTCTTGACTCTGGAACCCTAGACTGCCTGATAGGGCTGAGGGAAGTGCTCTTTAGTGCCCCTTGGCCAGCACTGAACCAGGCAAGAATTTTGAAGGCCTTTCAAAGCCAGATTTTTGGCTTGGAAAATCTTAGGCTCATTCCACAGGACCCTTTTAATCTCCCTGCTAACTTGGACCTGAACTCCTAGACCACTGGCTAAGATGCTAAGATTTACCACTTATTAGTTTGCACATGGCATGCCCTGCTGTCCCCAGGCTAGAGAGAGGACATGGTCTCACTCTCGGGAGCTCAGTAGTATCCAAGTCTTGTGGCCAGTAACCATGATGGTGCTTATTTGGGGAAAGCAGAGAGCAGGCCGAGAGAACTTGGTGGGGGGAGACTTGCTGGCATTTGAAGCAAGGAGTGGTAGCTTGGGCCAGCAGGGTCTGTGCCCGTTGAGGATCTGAGGGCTGGGCCTCCAGGTATACCCGATTCTGAGTGTCCTGCTTCATGCTGCCTTACAGGCAGATACCTTGTGCTCACCACACTCAGGACCCCTGCTGACCAGAGTCAGCTGCTGGTAATGGTGGCCAGGTGCTTTGTGGCCAGCCAGTCTAGTGTGCTGGCTGATCTTGCTCAGGGAGGCCATGCAGCCACACTGCGGCTGTAGTCCTTTAGCCGTCCTTCTTCCTGCATCCAGGACCTCGACTTAGAAGAAGCTTTGGAGCCAGACATGGAGGAAGATGATGATCAGAAGGCTGTGAAAGATGAACTGTAATGGAGACGCCAGACCTGAGCACCCTAACCCAAAACCTCGGTGGGCCGTGCTCCCAGCAGGCCACAACTCCAGAGCCTGACCCTCACCCAAGGAGGGCACGTCCTCGGAACCCAGGGAATCTTTCCGAAGCCACACTTATTCCAATACACTTAAACCCACCTCCTCTTTTGCTTTTCAGGTTTTTGGAATGGGATTTATCTCCAGGCCAGCCCATCTTGAAGGGCTACATTTTTTTAATTGTGATGTACTTTTTTAAAGTACATGGGTTTTGTCCCAAGTGCTCGCTAAAATGTTTGGATTCTCACACTGTAATGTCTTTCCTGTGAGGTCACACTATCACTTCCGATTCCATCTGTGAGACTGAGGCATTTCTTGATGTCAAGGTATTCCACCGTGGCCTGCTTCCCTGAGATTCCTCCCTGCCCTCTGTGGGGAGGGATGGATGGATCTGGACTGAACAGGGTCACTCTCCCCACCTACCAGTGTTGCCGTGACAGCATGGCTTTTGTAGTTTTTGGTTAACCAGGGACTTCTGCATCCTGTCAGAGGGTGGGCCCCCCACATGTGGAAGAGGGCGGTGAGGCTGGACACAGAGGCCAGGCCAGGCCTGGACAGCTCCCCTCCCTCTCCTCAAGCTCAGACTACCGGCCAGCCCACTCTGAGCACATAACTGTGTGACTGTTGGGTTCTCTTCCAGCATGGCCTGTGGCCTATGTGAGGCAAAACCAGGACCCTGGATTTCCAGGCTGGGAGTCAGCCAAGGACATTAGGGCCGAATCAAACGTCCATTCTTCAAGCATTTCTACCATAATATTGGAATTGAACACATTGGTCAAATAAAGTTGAAATTTTACTACCCATCGTCATTCTGCTTTACGTTCTCTGCCAGAGGAGGGGAGCTGAAATCCTGGCACCCAAAGGGACCGAGAGTATAGTGGGGACCCTGTTGACAAACACTCCCACCTACATCAGATTGTTTTCAAAGAAACCTAGGATGCCAGAGACCTCCACTTGGCTATTTGCCTTGGCTCATTCCTCCTGTGTCTGGAATCAGGATGCAACCACCCTGGATCGATCCTGCTGCTAATGGGTGTGTGGTCATTGTAGAACCATCACTACAGCTGTTTGATTAGCTGAAGAGATGGCTCTTGTACAGGACCCAGGTTGGGTTCCCAGCCCCCATCAACTCTAGCTTCAGGATCTCATACCCTCTTCTGGCCTCTTCAGGCATTGCATGCACATGGTGCACTCGCATACTTCCAAGCAAAGCACAAAAATAACCCTAAAAATGTTTCTAAAACCTGGGTGTGGGGCTGGAGAGATGGCTCGGCGGTTAAGAACACTGTTGTTACAGAAGACCTGGGTTCGAATCCCAGCACCGACATGGCAGCTAACTGTCCGTAACTCCAGTTCCAGGGGATCTGATGGCCTCTTCTGTCCCCTGGGGGCATTGCATGACACGGGTGCACTTACCTACATGCAGGCAATACATTCATATGCATAAAATATTTTTTAAAACCTGGGTATGATGGCGCAGGTCTTTAATTCTAGCTTTCAGGAGGCAGAGGAAGGTGGACCTCTGTGAATTCGAGGCCAGCCTGGTCTCCATAGTGAATTCAGCTGGGGCTACGGGGAGGCCCTGCCTCAAAAACAGAAAAGGCATCATACCAAGAGAGGTGGTACCTGTTGATAACCTAGTGTGGGAAATGGAGACAGTGGAACGCAAGGTCATCTTTACCTACATACGTTCACAGACCAATAGATGGATGACCCATGAGTGTCCCCCCAACAAAACAAAAATGCCATTTCTAGGCATGATGCAGCAAGCTTGTGAGTTTGAGGCCAGCCTAGGGTACATAGCAAAACTTTGTCTTAAGAAATGAAAGAAGCTAAAGATGGCTCAGTGGTTAACAGCACTTGCTGCAGGACACAGATTCGGTTCCCATCATCCACATGACAGCTCACAATTGCCCATAACTCCAGCTCCACTGGATCCAACGCCCTCTTCTGGCTTCTTTGGGCACTGCATGCAGGTGGTGGACATGCATATATACAGGCACTAGCACATACACATAAAATAAAAACCAGGCCAGGCATGGTGGCGCACACCTTTGATCCCAGCACTTGGGAGGCAGAGGCATGTGGATCTCTGTGGGTTCAAGGTCAAGCTGGAGTTCCAGGCCAGCTGGGGCTACAGGGAGCCCTTGCCTCAAAAAGACCAAATAAAAATAAAAATCTTTGAAAATTTTGGATTGATTTATATATGTGTATGAGTGTTTTGCCTTCATGTATGCAAGTATACTCATGCATGCATTGCCTGTGGAGGACAAAAGACATTGGATCCTCTGGAACTGGAGTTAGCTGCCTTGTGGGTGCTGGGATCAGAACCCTGGTCCTCTGGAAGAGCAGCCAGTGCTCTTAACTGCTGAGCCATCTCTCCAGCCCTCCAAATCTTACAAAAAGAAAAACCTGTCATGCTGGCTCAGTGGGTAAATGCATCTGCTGACAAGCTGAGTTCAACCTCAAGACCCACAGGGTAGGGGGGAACTGATTCCCGCAAGTTGTCCTCTGATCACATGTACCATGACACATGTACTCCCCCACCCACACACACACACAACAGAACATAAAAATAATACAAGAAGTTTTAAAACAATAAAAACAAGAGCCGGCAAGATGGCTCAGGGGGCAAAGGCACTTGCCACCAAGCCTGATTACCTGAGCACAGTCCCTGGTCCTCACGGGGTAGGAAGACGACGACTCCCACATATTGTCCCCTGACTTCCACACACACGCTGTGACATGCTACACATACAAATAAGGAAAAAAGACACATTACTGCTGGGTGTGGTGGCAAGCACTTTGAATCCCAGTGCTGGGGAAGCTAAGGTAAGAGGTTTGAACGTTCTGAGCCAATATGGGTTACACAGTGATGTTCTCTTTTTGTCTTTTTGAGACAGGGTCTCCCTGTAGCCCCAGCTGTCCT